AATTTTGATCCCATTTCTAGTGGTTGACAGTGGTAGCCAGGCACCATCTAGTTCTTCTGGTCTCAGGGTCATATAGGCTGAGGTTTGTGTGGTCTACTGGTCCCTTGGACTAACTGCTTCCATGCTTCTTTGATTTTCTTCACTTTTCTTTGCTGTGGATGAGGAGAGACCAATTGTTAGATCTTAGATGGCAGCTTGCAAGTTTTTAAGACCCCAGTTGCTACTCATCAAAGTAGGATGTAGAACAATGTTTTTGTGTAGCATGTTATGCCAATCGAGCTTGATGCCCTCCACGATCATGGTCTTGAGCCCATAGGTCCAGCAACTCACTCCCTCGAGGTGTTTGGCTATGGCTAAGAAGTTATCATAACTTTGCCTCCATTAGCTGTAAAGGCAGACATTCTTTTCTAGCTAGGCTAACCTATTATTTAGCTTCAGGGGATATTTTTTTATTTACGATTTAAAGATTACCTTCAGGCAATAATTTCAGGGGTTCATCCAGTCTCCATGGCAGCAGAAAGTCTGGGTTCCATGAGAATTTAAAATTCTCCTCTACATTTTCCCCCTTTTGATCAGGAGTGTTCTGTAAAATCTTTGATCAAAACAGTCAGTAATGGTAGCTGGGCACCATCCAATTCTTCTGGTCTCACAGCAAAAGAGGCAGGTGTTCTTGGAGACAATTAGCCACACATTCCATTTTCTTCCCATATTCCTGACTCTCCTTCTACTTCTGTTGCTCCAAGCAAACAGAGACCAATTGTGCCTTGGATGGCTACTGAAGTTCAGTACTCCATAAACTCCCCCTTTCCCTCTGCCTCCTGTCCCTGGTAAACACTAATAAACTTCAGTCTCTCTATATTTATTCACCTGATTTTGTCTTTTTATGTAAGTGAAGTCATACAATATTTACAGTATTTGTCCTTTTTAGATTTCTTAAAAATAATATCTTATTGTGTTCTCAGTGAAAGTTTTGTCACTACAGATCAGTTTGTGCTTTCTTGATTACATAAGTGGAATCCTCTGCTATTTCAGCATTTGTTCTTTTTGTTTGGCTTCTTTCACTTAGCATAATTATTTTGAGATTCTTCCCTATTGTTACATGTATTCATTCCTTTTTAGTGCTGAGTAATATTCCATTGTATTCAAATGGGATTTTTTAAGTGGTTACTGAGATTTAAAACACTTCCTCAGTATGATGATAACCATAAGCCCAGTATTTAATTTCAAATGGTTGGTTTAAGCTGCTCATCTCAGCCACATACGATTATCCAGTGTCTTAAATAGACTAAACCTGCCACTCTAGGGTCAAAATATCACAGTAGTTTTAAGGGAAAACTATTGGAATTTCTTAAGGCCAAATTGTGTTACCAAATTTTCCCATCAGAAAAAAAAATACAAGTGATGTATTTATTGTTGGACATAACTGAAAACCACATCTTAACATTGCAACTGAACATCAAGAAAATCTCTTTGATCCAAATACAGCAAAACCTGGAACAAGTATCCATTTGCTATTATCCACAAACCTCAGCACTCAATCATTCCCCTTTGGAATGCTCATTAACTTAGTACCTGACAAAACACTAAAAGTACTCTGAAACTTCTTCATACTTTGTGGGTTCATGTTTTATCAGGAAGTATCATACACAGTCGTCCAAATGAGGTTCCATTTAATTGCAATAAAGAGAGAGTCAGGAGGGAAAAAACTGCTGGATGTGGAATTTAACTCTTGGGGACCAATGATTCATGTTCCATTATTGAGACAGGCATGGACCATTTTGGTGAAAATATTTTCAAACGTCCTTCTTTAAACTGTTTGGAAAATATCAAATATGCTGTTTCCTTATTTTTTTTTTTTTTAAGCATAACTTCGTATTTTTTAATTACTGAAAGTTGATGTTTCTCCTAAGTGTGGAACCCCTACTAAGGCCCCTGCAGACGTCTACTGTCTGAGTCAGCTCTTGGCGCTGGGCCTGGTGGAAAGATGTTTGATTTGAGTAAGTATTTTAATATCTTATTGCATTTTGCCCTTATTGTTCTCTAAAACTGAGGGGGAAACAAAAATTTTGCTGAGTTGAGTGATATAATTGAGACGAAGTTGGAAATTGTTATATTTGCTGAAGTCAGTAAGGTTTTAGCATCAAGCATTGCTTGTGAAAACTCATTGCCGTTCAGTCAATTTCAACTCACAGTGACCCTACAGAACAGAGTAGAACTGCCTCATAGGGTTTCCAAGGCTGTAAATCTTTATGGAAGCATATTGCTACAAGTTTCTTCCATGGAGTGGCTGACCTTTCTTGGTTAGCAGCCTAGCACTTTAGTGAGCACTTTAACAACTCCTTGGAAGGAAGGTTGGGTAATCTGCTTCGGGAGTGATACTGCCTCAGAAACCCAAGGAGGGGCCACTATGAGTCAGATCTGACTCAACGGCAGTGGGTTTTTAACCACTGTGCTATCAGGGCTTCTTTTGCTTATGAAATGGAGTCCAAAATTAATGATAATGTATAAAATGTGATAGTCAAGATTGTGCTTAAAAGATGAAATGTTGTGAAAATGAGGGAAATAAAGAGACAGATCTTTGAATTTTTGGATTAAGGTGAATCGTCAAAAAATTATTTTGTGACTCTTCACCCAGAGAGAAGTTCACAGATCCACAGAACTGATGACAGGGATGTTGGCTGCTACAGACCTATGGCACAAGAGGGAGAAGACTATTGCTCCATTTGGCCTTGACAGTTTTTGCAAGGAAATATATAAATCAGTCCCAATGTCAGCAACTACAACCTCTGACTCAGTTCTCTGCAAAAGCACCATCAATGCCTCTCCAGTATGAAAATTCATTTCTTCTGTTCATGAAATAGCATTTGAAGTAAAATTTTTGTTTAGAAAATTATTTTGTATTGTCCATACTTGATATTAAGGAGCTGTGGTGGTGCAGTGCCTAAGGCATTTGACCATTAACCAGAAGGTTGGCAGTTCAAACCCACCAGCTGCTCTGCCAAAGGAAGATGGGGCAATCTACCTCCCTAAAGATTCACCACCTTGGAAACCATGAAGGTCACCATGAGTTGGAATTGACTTAATGGCAGTGGGTTTGGTTTGGTTTTATACCTGATATTAGGAGCTCTGGTCGCATACTGGTCTAAGCATTTGGCCAAAAGATCTTTAACCAAAAGATCGGTGGTTTGAATCCACCGGCCATTCCACAGGAGAAAGATGAGGCAGTCTGCTTCTATAAAGATTTACAGCCTTAGAAAATCTATGGACCAGTTCTACTCTGTCCTGAGGGATTGCTATGAGTCAGAATTGACTGGATGGCAGCGGATTATACTTGATGTTTAGGTGCAGTGGCTGTTCAATGGTAGAATTTTTGCCTTTTATGTGGAAGACCAAGGTTTGGTTCTCCATTAATGCACCTCATGAGCAGCACCGAGTCATCTATCAGTGGACACTTGGGTGTTGCTATGGTGCCGGACAGGTTTCAGCAGAGCTTCCAGACTCAGATGGACTAGGAAGAGAGTCCTGGTGGTCTACTTGCAAAAGTCATCCAGTGGAATTATGGATCATGATGGCCTGATCCCATTCTGCAGGAGGAAATGATGGTAACTAACATATTTGATGTTTAGTCTACATATTAAATACACACACATACACACACACACATATCTTAGTTAGATATTTTATCACATATTTTATACATTGGACCCTTTTTCCATGTTTTTGAGAAACATCTTTTTGTTTATGCTGAATTGTAGAATATTTCAAGCACACAGAAAATTGGAGAATAAATAGCAGCCACCCCTTTACCTGTCCCCTTTATTTTAACAAATGTTAAAATATTAAATATGATACTTAACAAATGTTAAAATTTCCTTCCCCATCCCACCAGAGGCAACTATTTTCTGATTTCCATCTTCATAGATCAAGGAGCTCTGGTGGCATAGTGGATAGCCATTTGACTGTTAACCAGAAGGTCAGTGGTTCAAACCCACCAGCTGCTCCACGGAAGATAAGATGGGGCCATCTACTTCCGTAAAGATTTACAGCCTCGGAAACCCAGTGGGAGTCGCTATGGGTTGGAATCGACTTGATGGCCGTGAGTTTTTTTGATTTATCTTCATAGATTAGTTCTGCTTGTTCTTGAACTGCATTAGAAAGGAATCCTAGGATTAAGATAAAGTTGGTGAAATTCATCCATCTTGTTGCACATTTCTGTAGTCTGTTCTTTTGTATTGATGAGTAGCAATCTATAATATGACTTCACCACAGTTTGGTTATCCAGTCTCCTCTTGATGAGGATCTGCTTTTTAGACAACACCTTGATGCAGGTGCCTCACCCACTGACATCTAAGGCAATGGTCTACCCCTTCCAGCTGACATCCACTTCATGGGGGCTTCTTCAGCTGTCTGTTCTGTTTTACCTCTTCCACTGTGAAAGCCCAGTTCTTGAGGACCCATGGAGCTACAGGTACTCCCTGGGTACCAGCTGGGTGACCAGGACTAGAAAAAGATGGTCTTCTGGCATAACCAATTCCTGGAGAAGGAAGCCAAGCCCCTATAGGTGTATGAAGGATTTTTCCCAAGGCCTCTTGCCCCTACTTCTATTTTATGATTAACCAAGGTCCTCTTCCCCACTGTGCCTCTCCCCCTCCACATCAGGAGCCCTGAGTCATTAGTTTAACTACCCCTCAGGACACTGAGCGCCAGTCAGTGCTCCATGCCCAGCTCTTCACTTCCCCTCAATGTGCCACTCAGTGATGATCTCTCAAGCTGTGCTCCTCCTGGGAGGTGAGTAGGGGTCCTCAGGGCTGGGGAGAAGTTGGGAAGGGGGTCCTCCATCTGGTAGGGTGGGCTAGAGGGTACTGGGTGAGTTCACACAGAAATTAGGAGGGCCTGAAGGCAGAGGCAGGACCTAGTCTCCAGGATCTGGCATGGGAAGAGGAATTTCCTGGAATCTGGGACAGGGCATGACCTGAATAAAGGTGAGTGAAGATGGACTCATGGGTTATGCCCAGGTGGAGGGTGAGCTGCATCTCCAGATGCTACATTCATTGAGACCTCCCTTCCTCTCACACATGTGGAGCCCTGGTGTGAGTGCTGTGGAAGTGAGAGGAGTCTGTCCCAGCATCCTCAGGGAAGAGAAGACAACAAAGCTACTAAAAAAACCAAACTCACTGCCCTTGAGTCAATTCTGACTCATAGAGAACCCCATTGGGCTTCCAAGGTGGTGTATCTCTACCGAAGTAGATTGCCCCATCTTCCTTCTGAGGAATGGCTGGTGGCTTTGAACCATCAACCTCCTGGTTAACAGTCAAATGCCTTAGGCACTGTGCCTCCAGAGTCCTTTACTGAAAGTACTAGGGAGGGGATAAGGTTGTATTCCATCTTCTTGGGGCTTGATTTCATGTAGATGGTCCCACTCCTTCCAAGAGCATAGTCCAGAAGTTGAAAGCTGTTGCAGGACCACATTAAAGCATTGTTGTTGTTGTTACGTGCCATAGAGTTGGACCTGACTCATAGCGACCCCTCCTTGGGTTTCCGAGGCAGTATCACTATGGAAGTAGATTGCCCAACCTTCCTTCCAAGGAGTGGCTGGTGGGTTTGAACCGCCAGCCTTCTGGTTAGCAGTCAAGTGCCTTAGGCACTATGTCACCAGAGCTCCCACATTAAAGCATTATGAGTCATTTAAAAGTCAGATTACACACAAAAGTCCAGATTTCCAATTTGTTTTGAGAAATGGGACTCCGGTACCTCTGGGTACTGCAGCCTCATAGTGGCTTGGTCCTTTAGAAGGGACACACCTCTGCAGTTCCTACAATTCCCTGGTGCTCACACCCACCCACATTGACACTCATTGATGTCAACTGCCTGGGCCCTGGGCCCCTTGAGTCTGAGACCCTTGGTGTCCTGCTACTTGTCAGGCTTTCAGGCTCAGATGCAGAAGCACTTGAAAGGAGGAAGGCGTAGAACATGAGGCTCCCTTGCATGTGGCCATAGCAGGGTTCCAGTCCCCTAAACATCTGAGCTCTTTCCAGAATCCCAGGCTTCAGGAATCTGAACCTTCTCTGCCATTGCCTTGCTTGATACTTGCCCTACTAGAGCTTCCTCAGTCTCAGCATTGGAGTCGACTACTCAATCTAGAGGTAGCAGAAAATTCTAGGAGGAATGAGGAGGAAGGATAGATGCATGGGAGCAGGACAGTCAGGAAAAACTCTTGAAATGTGGGGTCTTTCACAGAGGCTTTCTTTCACTAAATTTAGCCACCACAGAGGATAATGACCTCAGCTGAGGATCTGGAGAACAGGCTGGAATCCTGGCTGGGCCAGTGACTTGCTGTGTGGTTCTGGGTCAGTTAACAAGCATTAATTAGACACCTGCTAAGTGCCAGGCACCTCGACAGGCATCGTAGGACAAGATAGGCACAGTCTTTGCCCCTTGAAAGGCTGGCCCCAAGTGGGATAGACATGAGAAATACATAACTACAAATAATTAATCAAAGAATACTAAGTCTGTTTCCCAACGTGAATCTTGGAGTCTCTGTCTATAGAAGGAGAAGCTGAAGTAGGAGAGTCTTTATATAAGGAAGTTCTGGTGGCATAGTGCCTAGGGCATTTGACTGTTAACCAGAAGGCTGGCGGTTCAAATCCACCAGCCACTCCTTGGAAGGAAGATTGGGCAATCTACTTCCGTAGCGGCACCATCTAGGAAACCCAAGGAGGGGTCGCTGTGATCATATATTCCTATTTGTCTGGGGCAATTCCAATGGATGAGTGGTGCCCCCTTTCACTCTCAGAAGGTCTCAGTTTAGATAATAAATTGTGTGCTTAGCATTCCTGATTAAACCTACCAGGCTCCTGGCCTAATTTCTAATCATAGGTTTCCTTTGAAGTGTGTAAAGGAGGCATTTCCCTGGATTGTTGCTTTTTGCATTGTGGTTTGATTGTTTTTAAGGGATGGAAGAGGACAGGGAACCAAACAGATGGCAAATCAGAAAACAAGTTGGAAGGCAGGGACTCTGATAGGGAAACAAGGCTGGAGTAGGGTGGGGCATCAAGACCCCAAGAAATCAGGAGGCCACAGGGGGAGGGACTTCTCTGACCTCCTCTCTGATATTCTTCAGTCCTGGCTTCATATCATGGGTTCAACCTAGACGTGGAGGAGCCCACAGTTTTCCAAGAGGACGAAGCCAGCTTTGGGCACAGCATGGCTCAATATGGTACTCGGTAAGAACTGTTCCCTTCCCCATCCTGCAGGCACATGGACTTCCGTGGGTGGGGTCTCACACATTCAGAGGCCTCCCAGAGGAAGGGCAGGATGTGGGAGAAGCCCTTTTATGACTCCTCTGAGGCCGCTAACACCACCACAAATTATTCATGATCCCAAGAAGGACATACAACTCTGGGCAAGAGGCTGCCTGGGTAGGGAGGCCTTTAATCTTCCCTCCAGGTAGTGCCAACTTCATGGCATGTGACCAGCGCAGTTGCAGAGTCCTGTGATCCAGTGGTGTCACTAGGGGTGTGGGGGGTGGACTGTATTGGGTGACACTATCAGAGGGAGTGACACTAAAATGACCGTTTATAAAATTTTTGTGCCATGTTCTAGCAGCAATGTAATATATTTCATAAAAATATTTCTTTAGTGAGTTGTAACAACAAAAACACTTTTTGTAAGCCAGCTTCCATGTATTCATCTACCTACAAGGCTAAAACTCTATGCTCGTTTACTTTTTGAACCTGCTAATGGGCTCAGATGAGAGCTGTCATTACTACCAAATTACAATGATGGCTTTGAGTTGCGTGGTTTCGAATCCCAGGGTTTGGTCTGCAAGTGCTATTGTTTCTGTTGTTGCCAGTGTTCTCATGGTCATTGATTTTGTCAATTTTCCTGGTATTCTAGCTACAGTACTGTGGTAAGTAGTATTTGTGAAACTATATCAATAACTTTTTTTGAAAATGAAGTAAAAGTCAAAGGAAAATGAAAAAAGGCTTTTGCTCAGTTACAAATAATATAACATGATGATGTACAGAGTGTAGAAAGATTTTACAAAACAATTTTGTTGTTAGTACTCATATAATCTAAGAAATATTACATTTAAGCAATCTACAACTATACCTATCACTTATTATTCTATGATTGAAATTGATAATAAACATTACTAACGAGCTCTGGTAGCATAGTGCCTAAGACACTTGACTGCTAACCAGAAGGCTGGCGGTTCAAACCTACCAGCCCCTCCTTGGAAGGAAGATGGGGCAATCTACTTCCATAGTGATACTGCCTCAGAAACCCAAGGAGGGGTCGCTATGAGTCGGGGCCGACTCAATGGCACATAACAAAAACAACAAGGATTCCGTATGGTTTGGTATGAGAGAAGGTCTACGGGGGTGGTGACACCATTGTTCCCCAAAAAATGCCAGGGTCCAGCTCTGGAGCAGCGCCACCAATAGTCCACAGCCGAGTTTAAGGAGAAGAAGAGAGTTTCATTGGGAGGTGTACCAACAACAGACAGACAGGGTCTCAGTGACTCCAAAAGTATCAGCTTTGCTTAAGCTTACAATCAGGGCTTCTTATACCAAAGGACAAAGAGACACAGGACGTATGTAGGATTAATTAACAATTTTCCAAAAGTTAGCTAGGACAACAGGTAATTAAGAAAAGAACGTTTCCTGTGAGTCCCTGGAAGTCAGGTAGCCCTGAAGAGGCTCCATTGGTGTTTGTCAGAGCCCCAGTGGTAGGTCCTAACATCAGGCCCAGGAGCCTTCATTGACATAGATGGCTCTGCCTTAGATCACAGGATGTAGCAGAAACTGATAACTGTAACTTAGAGGGAGAACAAGTTCATTGAAACACAAGGTTGAAGCCAGGTTTTAAAGAAATGGCATCTCAACTGAAAATGTGGAATTTTATTCTAATATGGAGTCAGGCCTAACAAAGCAAAAATCTTTATCCTCACACCATGAGTTACCGTGCTGGGTGACACCAACCCAGTGAGCCGCTGACGCATTCAGAAGGAGGGGCCTGCACTGGGAGCTTAGTGTTCTGCAAACATCTTCTTGGAATTCTTAATGAGTTTTGTTTTTTGTTTTTTTGTTTTTTAATTTTTATTGTGATTTGGGTGAAAGTTTACAGAGTAAATTCACTTTCCATACAGCAGTTCACATACACTTTGTCTCATGACATTGACTGCAATTTCCCACAATGCAATAGCTCCCCTCCCACTTCCTCCACATAGTTACTTCTTCCCTGTGTCTTGCCCTCCCATGCACTCCTGCCCTCCCCCCAGCTGTCTCTCTGTGCATACACAGCCCTTCTATTCTCCCATGATTGATCTCTCTAAGGAGTATATCCACCAAATGTAAATGTTCAGCTTATATGCCTGTCTTTTGTTTGGCTGGAAGCCACAGGATTTGGTTCAATTCCAGACCTGAAGGGCAGCTGGGGGCCATAGTCTCAGTGGTTCCATCAGGCTCTGTCAAACCAGCAAACCTAGTCCCTATTTTTTTTTTTTTTTTTTATCATTTGAGTTTTATTCTACATTGTTCTCCCATTCTACCCAGCTGACAGTGGTAGCCAGGATTTGGTTCAATTCCAGACCTGAAGGGCAGCTGGGGGCCATAGTCTCAGTGGTTCCATCAGGCTCTGTCAAACCAGCAAACCTAGTCCCTATTTTTTTTTTTTTTTTTATCATTTTGAGTTTTATTCTACATTGTTCTCCCATTCTACCCAGCTGACAGTGGTAGCCAGGCACCATCTAGTTCTTCTGGTCTCATAGTTGTATAGGCTGAGGATCGCATGATGTACCAGTTGCTTGGACTAATTATTTCCATGCATCTTTAGTTTCCTTCATTGTCCTTCGCTTTAGATGAGGAGAGACCCACCGTTGCATCTAGATGGCCACTTGCAAGCTTCTAAGATCCCAGTCGCTACTCACCAAGTAAGATGTGGGACAATGTTTTTGTTTAGTATATTATGCCAATTGAGCTCAATGTCCCCTGTGACTATGGTCCCGAGCCCACAGGTCCAACTACTTACTCCCAGTAGGTAACTGACTGTGGCCAAGAGATGACTACAACCTTGTCCCTTGTCAGCTCTATTATATACCTGGTAATCCTTACAGAACATACAAATACACTTGTAGAAACATTGTCTTCCAACCCTATACTTGGTCATGGGAACACTCTCCCCTGCACAGACATACCTAATAGTTCAGCCTGTTCACCCATCTATCCACCCGTATACCAATGTTTGCCTTCACTGACAACGCAGTACTGTATGTGCAAAGGGTTCATCTTTGTTGTCTGTACCTCTCATGCATCTCTCTATGTTTTACTCTTCCTCAGTGCCACCGTGTTGATCACTCACAAAATTCGTAATGATTTTATAAAGATAAAATTATCCATGATAGGACAATGGAGATGTACTGGGGGCTTGGAGCCCTGGCTCACGCCCACCTCTGCCTCCCCACCTCTCACAGCCTCCCAGGACGGGTTTTTGGCCGCCAGCTCCACCTCCCACACCACCCCCTTCCCCTCGCCCAGTGACGATTGCTACTCTCTGCCACTGGTCAGGAGCTGAGGAAGTTTAGGGTCTGGTGCACACTGCGCCCTCCAGTCCTTTTGAGTATCTCTGTGCCTGAGGGAGTACAACAGGAAGTAGCAAACAAAACAAAACAGGACAGTTGAGAGAAAGACTGAGGAGGAAAGAAAGAAAATTTTGCATACCTCTTGACCAAACTGAAGCAAACTCACTGCCATGAAATTGATTCCGACTCACAGTGAGTCCCTTTGATCTTTTTCAAGGCTGTAAATCTTAACAGAAGCACATCGCCTCATCTTTCTTCCATGGAGAGGCTGGTGGGTTCAAACCACCGACCTTCTGGTTAGCAGCCAAATTCCTTAACCACTACACCACCAGAGCTTCGCATTTTCATTTTGCTTCCTCCCACACATGCTCATGTCCCAGAGACACATACCCAAGGTGCATGTCACAGTGGGATGCTGGCATAACCAATCCTGGGAGGTACAGGAAGGAACAGATCAAACCCAGGAGGGGAAGTTCCATGCAGGCTTCATATATAACCCATTGCTGTGGAGTAGATTCCGATTCACCATGACCCTGTAAGACAGAGTAGAATTGCCCCCACAGGGTTTTCTAGGCTGTAATCTTTACAGATTGCCAGGTCTTTGGAGCAGTTGGGTGGGTTGAACTCCCCATCATTCAATTAGCAGCCAAGGTCTTAATCGTTGCACCACCAGATCTCCTTATGTCATAGTGACCCCTCCTCGGGTATCTGAGGCGGTATCTCTATGGAAGTAGATTGCCCAACCTTCCTTCTGAGGAGTGCCTGGTGGGTTTGAACCACCATCATTCTAGTTAGAAGTCAAATGCCTTAGGCACTACACCACCAGAGCTCCCAATACCCACCATAGTGACCCTATAGGGCAGAGTAGAACTGCCCCAATAGGATTTCCAAGGCTGTAAATCTTTACAGAAACAGACTGCCTCATCTTTCTCCTATGGAGGGACTGGTGGGTTTGAACCACCAACCTTCTGGTTAGCAGCTGAATGCTTCACCCATTTTGCCACCAGACTTCCACAGAAGGAAGGTTTCAGTTGGCCCAGAAGGAGGTGAGGTCTAGATGTTTATCAACTTCACTTCCTCAGCCAGGGGAGAAGACTGGGCAGGTGCCTGGAGGCAAGTGCCAGTCTCCAGGGCTTTGTTGTTTCTTTGTTTTGAAATATAACACAGAGATGGAAGCACACAAATGTGAAAGGCACAACTCAACGTTTTTAAATGTGTTTATCTGGTAACCACCACCTAGATCGAGGTGAAGAGCATTTCCTTCCTCCACTCCCTAGGGTTCCTTTGAGCTGTCTCTTGATCAACAATAGCCAACAAATCTAAACATAGCCACTGTTCTGCCTTCCATCACCATGGTTTCATTTTCAGGCCCCATTTTTAAAAGAAAACCACTTGTTGACCGTTGTTCAACAATATCTAGCATTTATAATAAAGCAAACAATACGTAGCAGGATACCATTCTGGTTACTGCAAAGTTATTGTCTCTCCTGGCTTCTGTTGGACCAGTAACCCAACTACTGAAAATATTGAACCTACAGTAAGGAACAGTCAGGGTGGAGAAAAAAACATGCAGGCCAATAGTTTAGACTAAAAGTTTGTTCACTGTTGTGTTTGCCTAGAGCTGCTCTAACAGAAAAATACCACAAATGGGATGGCTTGAACAAACAGGAGTTTATTCTCTGACAATTTTGGAGGTTTTAAGTCTGAGTTCGAAGTGCCAGGCTCTCGGGGCTGGGTGAAAGCCCCTCAACCTTGGGCTTCAGCTCTGCCTCCTGCTCCTGGCCCACTGACGCTGGAGGCTTTTCTTCACTCAGTCAACTGCTGGCTGCCAAGGCTGACAAGCCCAAGGCTGACAAGTAAAAAGGCACAGTCCCAATGTTATCAAACCACATGGCAGGACACTAATTCAAGTCCAGATGAAGACCCAAGATCAGCAGGGCATGGCAGGCTGTTGAACAACGAACGACTTGGCTACATGCAGGGTTCAAGCATGCCAAAAAGCTAGAGACCATTCCCAAAGCTGCTTCCTATATATGGGACGCAGATCACGTCCCTAAGTCAGCTACTCAGATCTCAGCATGGAGTTGCTAGCCAGTCTCATCATGGGGAATAACTACCATCAGCTGCCCAGCCACTCAACTAGGCCAAGTCAAGCTGATACACAAACTTAACTACCACAGTCACTCATTTATGCTCCAAAAGCTCATTGCCGTCAAGTCAGATCCGACTCATAGTGACCCCTCCTTGGGTTTCCAAGGCGGTAGGTATCACTACGGAAGTAGATCGCCCAACCTCCCTTCTGAGGAGTGGCTGGTGGGTTTGAACCACCAGCCTTCTGGTTAGCAGTCAAAAGCCTTAGGCACTACACCACCAGCGCTCCCACATTGCTAACCATCTGATTAGGTTTTCTTCAGCAATGTCTAGACATTCTATTAATCATGACAGAGATTTCAACTTTGCACAAAGAAATAGCTGTCTAGAATGAAGCCTGAAATGCCCATATAACTGAGCTCTGAAGCTAATTAAAACACCCCAGCATTTGTTTAGTTTTCTCATTGGGAGGGGGAGTTGGTACAGATACATTTTTCCAAAAATTAAAAAAAAAAAAAAGTTCCTGAGAGTTTTATAAATAACCCATAGCATTTATATGACTGGATGCAGTCATAGACTCTGTCATGGCTGCTTTACATTGTCTAATTTAAATTGCTTATGTTATAGCTCTGGTAGCATAGTGCCTAAGGCACTTGACTGCTAACCAGAAGGCTGGCAGTTCAAACCCACCAGCCACTCCCCGGAAGGAAGGTTGGGCAATCCTACTTCCGTAGTGATACTGCCTCAGAAACCCAAGGAGGGGTCGCTATGAGTCGGGGCCGACTCGACGGCAAATAACAACAACAACAACATGTTATAGCTAAGGAACTCTGGTGGCATAGTGGGTGAGGCATTTGCTAATCAGAAGGTCAGTGGTTCAAATCCACCAGCTGCTCCAAGGGAGAAAGATGGGGCAATCTACTCCCGTACAGATTTATAGCCTTGGTGTATGAAAAATGAATTTGCTCTGTAAACTTTCACCCAAATCACAATATAAAATTTTTTTAAAAAAGTTCTACAGCCTTAGAAATCCAATGGGGGTCACTATAAGTTGGAATTTACTTGATGGCAGTGTTTTTTTTTGTTTGTTTGTTTTATCTTATATCTAAATTGTCCAATTGATTACTGTGGTAATTAAGGTTATACATCAACTTGGCTGGGCCTGATTTTCAATGGCTGGGCAGCTGGATGTAGTATTTCCTATGATGAGATTGGCAATCCACTCCATGGTAGAATTTACTGTGAGCAGCTGAGTAGCTGCCTTAGGGATGTGGCCTGCTTCCTGTGTATAATGAAAAGCTTTGGGAATGGTCTTCACTTTTTGTCACGCGTGGACCCTGCGAATAGCCGAGTCGTTATTCAGCAGCCTCCCATGTTGTCTGACAGTCTTGGGACTCCTGATGGGACTTGAATCAATGCCCTGCTGTGTGGTTTGGCAGTATCGGGACTGTGCCATTTTATTTGTCAACCTTGGCCTTGTTAGACTCAGCAGCCAGTAGCTACCTAAGTGAAGAGATGCCTCTAGCTCCAGTGGGCCGGGAGCAAGAGGAAGAGCTGAAGCCCAAGGTCAAGGGACTTTCACCCACTCCTAGACCTGGTGCTTTGAACTCGGACTTCTAGCCTCCAAAACCGTAAGAGAATAAACTCCTGTTTGTTAAAGCCACCCATTTGTGGTATTTTCTGTTAGAGAGGCATGAAGTAACCAGAATAATTATAGAATCATTTACTTGTTTTGAGAGCTGAATATTTTCAATTTAACTTGAGGGGATCTATTTGTTGGTTGCTCCAAATGATGGCATTCCAAAAACAACATGGACTTACCCATGGTTGTGAAATTCCATTTTGTTATAAATAGTTTATTTTTGGGTGAATGTTTTCAAAAATTTATGTATGTATTTGTTCTAGTTACCTAGTGTCGCTCTGACAAGAAATATACCACAAATGGGATGGCCTTAACAAACAGTTTATTCTAACAATTGGGAGGCTTTAAGCCCAAGTTCAAAGTGCCAGGCTCTAGGGGCTGGGTGAAAGCCCCTCAACCTTGGGGTTCAGCTCTGCCTCCTGCTCCCAGCCCACAGAAGGTAGAGTCGTTTTTTCACTCAGACAGCTGCTGTATGCTGAGGCTGCCAAGCCCAAGGTTGACAAGTAAAAAGGTACAGTCCTGATATTATCAAATCACACAGCAGGCCATAATTCAAGTCCATTGTAAGTCCAAGAGTCAGCAGAGCATGGCAGGCTGCTGAACAACGACACGGCTACATGCAGGGTTCAAGGTGCCATAAGCTAGAGACCATTTCCGAGGCTTCTCCTTATATACAGGAAGCAGACCACATACCAAAGGCAGCTACTCAGCTGCTTGTGGTAGATCCCACAATGGAGCTGATTACCAATCTCATCATGGAGAATAACTACCACCAGCTGCTCAGCCATTCACCCAGGCCCAGCCAAGTTGACACACAAACATAACCACCACAGTATTTATGTATGTATGTTGTTGTTGTTGTTGTGTGCCATTGAGTCGGACCTGACTCATAGCGACCGACTCTCCTTGGGTTTCCGAGGCGGTATCACTACAGAACTAGATTGCCCAACCTTCCTTCCGAGTATTTATGTAAATATATAAATAAGCAAAAAAAGTCCAGGATGGTCCTTAATTATATATAGATTAAACTCAGAACCCAGTTTTTCACAAGCCTTTTAAATGGCACATGGAAAGAACTTCCCTCCCAAGTCTCACTTCCTCATCTCATGACACTTCTTCTCCCTAAAGCACCCTACTCCCACCCCTCTGAGACTGTACATCATGGTTATGTCCCCAGACTTGTGGTGGGAGCCCCTTTGGAGGTGGTGGCAGCCAACCAAACAGGACGGTTGTATGACTGTGCATACCACACCCGCACATGCCAGCCCATTGCACTGTATGGTGAGTGACTTGTGCCAGGACCTGAACGCTCCCTTCTTAGCTTCCAGCCACGTGAAGGCTACCATGAGTGTGAATGGTGTGTCTGCCCTTTCAGTCCCCCCAGAGGCTTTGAACATGTCCCTGGGACTGTCCCTGACAGCCACCACCAACTCCTCCTGGCTGCTAGTGAGTTTCCCTGGGACACGGGAGGATCCTGAGGGGAAGGGCAGGAGCTGAAGGAAGCTGGGGCTGTGGGTAGAAGAGGAAGTGGTGCTCTGGGGGAATCTTTGCCCACAAAGGCCTCTGCCCCCAGGCCTGTGGCCCGACCTTGCACAGAGCCTGTGCAGAGAATCTGTATGCAAAAGGATCCTGCCTCCTGTTGGACTCCCACCTGCAGATCATCCGGACAGTCCCAGCTGCCCTGCCGGGTAGGTCCATTAGGGACAACAATTATGCATGGGGTACACACTGCACTGAGGAGTGGGTGGAGCATGAGGCCTGGGCCACAGTCCCCTGTGCTCATGGACCCTTCCTGAGAGCCTCAGCAAGCCCAAGATGGGGTGGAGACACATTCTGGCCCAGTGGGAAGGCAGTAAAGGGCAGGAGCCCTAAGCTGGTTGAGGCGTAAAGATTTTATAGGTCAAAGGAGGCCCCAGTATGCTGGCTGCTAGGAGCATGAGGGTTTTTCAGTTTCCAACAGCTTCAGGGATGCTTGGTATGCTTTCGGAAGGATGGTGAAGTCATGTGGTAGAGATGAGAAATCCTTGAGGGAGGTAGTTCTTCAGGATCACTCACTGCTGAACTGTCAAGACTCCTCAAACCAAACCAACCTTTTCCCCTTTCAGGGGAACAAACGATGAGGTGTGGACAGCATGATGCACAGTGTTGCCATTGCTAATGTCTTCCATATAGAACAGGGTCTGGGGACACTGTGGTCACATCTCTCTGAGAGTCAGTCCGCATGGTGTTAAAGAGCTGGTGTCCAAGTGCAAGCCCTCTGTGCCCTTGGGCAAATGACTTCCCTCCTTGCGTCTCAGTTTACTCATTGATAAAATGAAGTTTAATAATAGAGGTGGTTATGAGCTTTAAGGGATTTATTTATGTGAAGTTCTTAGAACTATAGCTGGCACCTAATATGTGATGGCTATTGTTGCTAATCTTCCAGCTAAAGACCATGTGTTTAGACTGAGGGAAAGATACAGATAAACTATCTCATCAGTGGTATCAGAAGGCCCACTCAGGGTGCTGACTGAGAACAATGCTTTGGACCAGAGAAGTGACAATGCCAGGCATGGTGGGCTTTTAACCAAAGTTGGAGAAGCAGCAGCCAAAGCACCTGTCAGTTTCCTGTGGCTACTGTAATAAATTGCCACACTCTTGATGGCTCAAAATGACAAGAACTTATTATTTCACAGTTCCAGAGGCCAGAAGTCTGAAACAAGTTTCACTGAGCTGAAATCAAGATGTCCGCAGGGCTGTATTCTTTCCAGGGGCTCTAGGCCAGAATCCTTGTTCCTTGCTTCTTCTAGATCTTGGCACTTGACAATTTTTGGCTTGTGTCTACATCTCTCTCTGCTCCCTCTTCACAGTGCCTTCTCCTCTGTATGTCTGTCTTTAATCTCTGCCTCACCCTTTAAGGATACCTGAACCACTTTGCTGATTTGCCTCCTCCATACTCTGACCTTCCTAGAGTATGTGTTCAACAAATATTTGTTGAATAAATGAATGAAGAGCCAACCTGGCCCCTGTACCCTACTTCCTCCTCCTCTTTTCCACACCTTAGGGAAAGAATGGAGCAACAGGGACTCCACTGAGGGGAGAAGGGACTGGGCCAACAGATCTGGCCCTCCTCTGTGGAGGAGGTCAGAAACCTGGTGGCAATGAAGATCCATGCCAAGAACTTAACTCTGTTGAGCAGGACGTGTTTCTCGGCTCCAGGAGATGAGTAGGACCCATGTGTTTCTCTCTGATTCCCCCCTCCCTCCTTGCAGAGTGTCCAAAGCAAGACATGGACATCGTTTTTTTGATCGATGGCTCCAGCAGCATCGACAAAAGTGACTTTGACCTCATGAAGGACTTTGTCAGAGCTGTGATGGGCCAGTTTACCGACACCAATGTCCTGGTGAAGATGGGACACATGAGGCCTGGAGAACAGGGTGGGATGGGAGAGGGCCTACCTGGGGGAGGCACAGCTGGGAGGGGAGCCTTGTATAGGCAGGGGTGAGAAATAGGGTGGAGGTGAGGTGGGATGGGAGTTGGGGGTTAAGGGTAAGGTAATAGTTCAATGGAGCTGTGCCATGATGAGGTAAGTATCCAGGTCTCAAGGAATCTTGTGCTCCTTAAGCTCTTGTGACACTTAATATTTGCCCACATCCTGAATGAAATAGAATGTTTTTGCTGTTTAAAAACATTGAAAAGATTTTTAAATAATTTTGCTTATGGAATTTGAGGGTGATTCAGACAAATAATTGATGATCCTTTAGGTCTTTTCCTGTGTAACTCATGACATCTTTAACTTATTATTTCATTTCCCGGCAATTAGTGTGCATTCGTAAATTCTTGAGAAGTGAGGAAATAGAAGTAACAAAATAATTTCATGTAATAAAATTTTTAAAATCTAAATTTTACATCTATTGTGGTGAACAGTGTTATGTCTTGAAGACAATGAAAGAAGAAGCATTATTTGACTTTGATTTTCCACTTTTCTTTGTGCTTTTGGGCCAACTAATTTGTTGTTGTTGTTGTTTCAGTATATATTATATATCAGAGTTTCAAAAACACATGGGAAATGTGTTTGTCTGTCCAAAATCACTGTAAAAGCAAAAGGCTTTAAAACCAAAAAAAGCTAATCTTTGTGCCCGTTGCCCTCCTCTCTGCCTCAACAGTTCTCCCTGATGCAGTACTCAGACCGCCTGGAGATCCACTTCACCTTCACCCAATTCCAGACCAGCCAGAACCCTCAGAGCCTGGTGGATCCCGTTGTCCAACTGAAGGGCTTGACGTTCACTGCCACTGGCATCCAGACTGCCGTGTAAGTGCCTCCTCAACTTACCTAAGGGTATGGCAGCCACCTTTACTCCCGAAGCTGGGCCAACAGTGATTTTCTCAGAGCCTAAGGGAGGCTCTGGGAAAAGGAGAGAAAAGGGGAGTTTGGGGCCAGCGGGCAGAGAGGCCTCTTTTCTGGAACATTCCTGGTGGTCTCACTCTCTGCCAGTTATCTCTGGTGAAGGCCTGAATCTCTGCTCTTGTGTTTCCCTGGAGAGGCTGGACCGTAGGAACATACATGGGGCAGCCAGAAGCATGGGGTTTGATATAGGCACATCTGGGTTCCCACTCTGGTTCCCTGCTTGCTACCTGAGTGACTCCAGGAGCTACTGACTCTAAGGTTTCAGTAAGCTAAAATGAGGTTAACCTCACAACTTGGTTATAAGGTTTAAATGAGCTCATTTGTGAGGTTCTTAGCCTAGAGCACATAGGAGCTGCTGGATGAATGGTTGGCATTTTATCCAAAGGATGCTGTCCCCCTCTTTACCTCCCTGGCAAAACCAGAACACCACACCTGTTGCTGTGGAGTCGATCCTGACTCATAGCGATGCTACAAGACAAGGCAGAACTGGTCCACAGGGTTTCCAAGGCTGTTATCTTTACGAAAGCAGACTGCCACATCTGTCTCCCACAGAGCTGCTGATGGGTTCAAACCGCTGACCTATTGGTTAGCAGCACAGTGGTTAACCACTGCACCATGAGGGCTCCTCATACCTCCCTGCTGGAAACTCACAAACTGTTTGCTAAGTATATTGTGCCTTTCTCTGCTCATCTTTATTCACACATTTCATGCAGTCACGATCAGAGCAGAACTATTTTCATCCTGTTTTTCTTCCACTTAGCACAGGGTCAAGGTCTTTCTAATTATTACCAATATGTCTTTCAAAAACGGCTGAATTGATTCTTAACATGGCTGATGGAATCTAAGAGCATGCAACCTCTCCAGATGAGCTCCTAGGGCTGCAAATAACTTCTTCCCAATCAATCACCTCTCAGTAGAATCATGTCCCTTTCTTCCCCAACAGGACCAAACTATTTCATAGTAAGAGTGGGGCCCGCAAAGGTGCCAAGAAGATCCTCATTGTCATCACAGATGGGCAGATATACAAAGACCCCCTGAAATATAGCGATGTCATCCCCCTGGTGGAGAGTGCAGACATCATCTGCTATGCCATTGGGGTGCGGCCTTTTTCTTACTGCTCCCTCACACTCAGCCTACCCTTCATCCAGGCAGAAAAGCTTGTGGTCTTCTCCTCAACTGCTTCTCTGTAGGTGGGAGATGCCTTCCAGGAACCCGCTGCCAAGGAAGAGCTGAACACCATTGGCTCAGCACCCCCGCAAGACCACGTGTTCATGGTGGACAACTTCGCAGCACTTGGCAGCATCCAAAAGGAGCTTCAGGAGAAGATCTTTGCAGTTGAGGGTAAATAAGGAACTGAGCTTGGGTCTTGGAAGTGAATTGGCCTCTATCTAATTGTCGTCTGTGACAGTCTATCCCTATTCACAGCTCACCCTAAATTTCTTCCAGAACCCAAGCCCTAGACTACATTCTTCTCCCTCTGTTCTGAGTCCTCATGGTCTCATGGTGTCTAGGAGCCTAAGTGCCCTATTTCCCTACAGGAACCCAGATGAGGACAATTAGCTCCTTCCAGCACGAGATGTCTCAAGAAGGCTTCAGTTCAGTCCTCACAATGGTGAGTGAAGCATGTTCTTGAGAAACAAATCTCAGTCACCCACTCTGGGCCAGGTCCTGGACTGGGGAAGCTGGGACCCAAAAGTAAACAAGAAAGCAAACCCTGTCTAGCGGGAAGAGACATACAGCAGGCAATGGGTTAGGTGTGGGAGGTACATTGAAGAACTGCTATTGTATATGTTATAAATTACCCATAATGAAAGTTGGAAAGGCAATAAATTATGCAGAGAAGGAAGCACCGACCACTCCCTGGGGAGCTGAGGAAGACTCCACAGAAGAGATTGACTGGAAGTTGCCTCTTTTGGAGAGTAGAGTTGATCACCAGAAAGAGAGGAAGGGAGAGAGGCGTTCCATGCCAAATACTTGATGTGTTTTAGAACAAACGGTAACTCCATGGGTTTGATTAGGAAGGGTCCTAGATACCATCCTAAGGGGGTTGGTGACAGGAAGCCATCTTAGTTTTCTAGCAGGGCTGTTGCCACACATTTGGGTTTGAGGAAACATAACTCTGGGGAATTGGAAGATGAAACAGAGAAGAGCAAGATGGGAGGCAGGAAGAAAGTGAGTGAGAGGTGATAGGGGCTGAACAGGACAGTGTCGGCAAGGTTGGACTGAGATGTGAGAAGCCATGGTCATGTAAGCACTGAGGCTGCTGATAAGGACTGGGGACAGAGGAGAAGAAGAAATTCAAATAATGAGTGGAATTGGTGGCAGACATTTATTTGGAATAGTCTGTTTACTTGTTCCAGCCTGCTCAGCTCTGGAATCCTTTCCTCCTAGGACGGACCAGTTCTTGGGGCTGTGGGGAGCTTCAGCTGGTCTGGAGGTGCCTTCCTGTACCCTCTAAATATGATCCCCACCTTCATCAACATGTCTCAGGAGAATGTGGACATGAGGGACTCTTACCTGGGTGAGAAAAGGCTGGGGCTACTGGGGACAGGACGGGAAGGTGAGATGTCTGGGAAGGGCAGGATCCTGGGAGAAAAGGAAGACTACCAAAGACCTGGCCCCTTCAGGTTATGCCACTGAGTTGGCCTTTCAGAAGGGGGTGCAGAGCCTCGTTCTGGGTGCCCCCCGCCACCAGCACACTGGCAAGGTTGTCATCTTCACCCAGGCGTCAATGCAATGGATACTGCAGGCTGAAGTCATGGGGACCCAGGTTGGCTATTGGGGAAGCTGGGGTGGAATGTGAGGGTGGGCAGAGGCATTTGGAGCTCTTGATGGGAAGATCTAGGTGCCTGGGGAGAGGTGGGACCTGGGAGCATTTCTGGGAGGGTAGGCAAGGTGACTTTAGGCTCTGCCTTCTAGATTGGCTCCTACTTTGGGGCCTCCCTCTGCTCCATGGATGTGGACAAAGATGGCAGCACTGACCTGGTTCTCATTGGGGCCCCCCATTACTATGAGAAGACGCGGGGGGGCCAAGTGTCTGTCTGTCCCTTGCCTCAGGGGGTGAGTGACTGATAGAGCCTGGGCCGAGTGGGTCCTGGGTGGAGGGGTTGCCCCAGTTGGAACCCGACACTGGTTTTGTTTTGCAGCAGGCTAAGTGGCATTGTCAGACTGTTCTCTATGGGGAGCAGGGCTATCCTTGGGGCCGCTTTGGAGCAGCCATGACAGTGGTGGGGGACATGGACGGGGACAAGCTGACAGATGTGGCCATTGGGGCTCCAGGGGAGCAGGAGAACCAAGGCGCAGTCTACTTATTTCATGGAGCATCAGGACGAGGCGTCAGCCCCACCCACAGCCAGGTGAGCCCCCTGTCTTCTGCTTCTTCCAGTTCCACCTTTCCCCCCACTCAACCTTCAGTCATCGCCCTTTGCAGCTATCACTCCCCTCTTCTAGTGGTTTAGGTCCCTGAATTCCACCAAGCCCAACTAAGCACAAACCATCTCTCTTTTCTCCTTTGGTTCAAAACAGACTTTAGTTTGGAAGTCTCTTAGCAGTTAAGAAAGTGGGCTTTGGAGTCAAACATAGGTCAAATCCTTTGACGGGCCATCATCAAGCTATATGGCCTTAGGTAAGTGACTAACTTACCTTTGTGAGCCTTAGTTTTCTGTGAAACATGGGAATGATAAAAACCACCTCCACAGGCTTCTTGTAGATAACACAAGGAGTAAGCAAGCACTCTATTCATCAGATATTTATAAATGAACATAAGAAACTACAAATAAATGAATTATATTCCTATTGTTCCTCTTTTACTTCATAGTAAACCTGAACCCTCATAATAGGTTGGACCAAAAGAACTCTCTTCTGGGGTTCTTGATGTTCTTAATGGTCTCACTCTATTCCATCTCACTTACATTCCATTTCTATTCCATCATCTCTCCTTTCCAGCTTCTCCATTCCAATCCCTTTCACTGAAATCTCCTTTCTAAATCTCTTCCTGGAACCTTTCCAATCACTGTCCCTTGACTCCCACTTCTTTCCCTCTATGACCAGCGGATCACAGCCTCCCAGCTCTCTCCCAGGCTCCAGTATTTTGGGCAGTCACTGAGCGGCGGTCAGGATCTCACCAAGGACGGACTGGTAGACTTGGCTGTGGGGGCCCAGGGACACTTGCTGCTGCTTAGGTAACAACTCCCCCGACCTTGCCCTTGCTCACTGTGTGTCTGATTCCTCCAATGCTGCGCCATCCCCTCCGGACACTTTTCTTTCCAGAGGCCAGTGCCCTGTCCTCAGCCCCTGCTTACATCCCTTAGGAGTCGGCCTGTGCTGAAAGTAAGGGGAGCTATAAGATTCACCCCCGCAGAGGTAGCTAAAGTTGTGCACCAGTGCTGGGAGGAGGTGCCCACCACCCTGGAAGCTGGGAATGCCACAGTCTGTCTTACTATCCACAAAAGCTCCCTTGACCAGCTGGGTGAGTACCCTCCAAGTAGATCCAGTCCCCCACCCCACTAAAGGCCCTCAGTCCTATCTATACAAGTTAGATGGGCCTGAGAATCCAAATCTCACTCCAAATCCACCAAGGTGCCTGTGTCAGAAGCCTGGGTTCCTTCTCTCCTCCTCTTCCCACCCTCATGCCTGTTAATTCTATCTCCAGGATAGCTCTGGAGTCTACCCATTTCTTGCTACCAGCCCAGCCACCTTTAGGCCAGCACTTCTCTTTCCTAGCTAGAGCCAAGTAACAACAGTTTGAGCTGCTCCCCACATCTATTCTTGCATCCACAACCTATTCACAATGAGAAACTAGAGTTCCTCTAAAATTCTGGTTCCCTCACTGCTTAACATCCCTCAGTTGCACCCCTCACATTTATAAAGACCAAAATCCTTCCCTACGATGCCCTCTCTTATTTGGCCCCAATGTGCCACTCCAGCCTCACATTATTGCACTGCTTCTTACTCAATACATTCCAACCACGCTTATATTTCTGCTTTGTAAATGTGCCAGCTTCCTTCTCCCTTCTGGTCTTAGCTACTGTTCCACAGTCTGGGACTTTCTCCTCTGTACTCTTCACCTGACTTCTGTTCATCATCCAGGCCTTAGCTTGAACATTGGCCCCTCCAAGAAGGCATCTTTGGTCCTCTGTGTTAGAATACACTCCCCACTACTACCACCAGAGTATCCCACACTTGCACACATATCTTTGTGATGTCATAGCCTACATACTCATTTTCTTTACCAGACTGTGAGGCTCATGAGGACAGGGACTTACATTTATTTTCTTCTCTACTTTTATCAATAGTCCCTGCTATGGTTCATGGTCCATAGATGTTGTTTTTATGTGCCATCAAGTCGGACCCTCCTTGGGTTTCCAAGGCAAAATACTACGGAAGTAGATTGCCCAATCTTCCTTCTGAGGAGTGGCTGGTGGGCTTGAACCGCCAGCCTTCTGGTTAGCAGTCAAGTGTCATAGGCACAAATAGTTATTGCATGAAAAAATAAATGAAAAACAGAGCCTCCTAGTTTCTCTCTGCCTTTCTGTCTTCTGCTCTCCATTCAGGTGATGTCCAAAGCTTCATCAGGTACGACCTGGCATTGGACCCAGGTCGTCTGATTTCTCGTGCCATCTTTGATGAGACCAAGAACAGGACTTTAACTCGAGGAAAAATCCTGGGGCTAGGAGATCACTGTGAAACTGTGAAGCTGCTTTTATCAGTAAGAACTTTGGGTTCTGGGAAGGGAGAGAGAGGAAGAGCCAAAGACTAGCCTCTAGCCTCTAGCTTCCCTACTATGTGCTGAGTGAGCTGGGAAGGGTGGAAAACTGGGCTATAGAGGTTGGATAGGTGAAGCCAGCGAATCTGGCTTCTTGTCTTAGATGTGGGTCTGTGTGGACAGCAGGGAATGGATCCAATGGAGGAAAAGCCCCAGTGGACAGATAGTAGGACAGACAGATAGTGGGTTATTGAAAGCCCATTCTCCCTAGGACTGTATAGAGGACTCTCTGAGCCCCATCATCTTGCGCCTCAACTTCTCCCTGGTGGGACAGCCCATTGCTTCATCTCAGAATCTTCGTCCCGTGCTGGCTGTGGGCTCACAGGACCACTTTGCTGCTTCTGTGAGTCTTCCAATGAAGTCCCAGGGATGCATTGACTGGTATTATGTCTCCATGTGCTTAAGTACCTACAGTGGCCCCTAACTGCCCACCCAACCATATTAAGTCCCAAACACCTCTATCCAGGTTCTAAGGCCCTGTCTAGCTTGGACCCTTACACATCCCAACTGATTTTTCACCTTACCCTGATATAAATCCACTTGTTCTCATTATGCAGAATCTTCCCAACTTTTCTCATTCTTACTCTGTGTACTTGCTCATATTGTATTTCATTTGGAAAAATGCTATCTTCTTCTCTCTACCCCAAAGATCCTTCCTAATCCCCAAAGTTGCAATCATATCTGCTTCTCTTTTGAAAACCATACTTGGTATCTGCCATGTTTTTCTGGCTCCCCATTCTGCCATGGTGGTATCACCTTAGGAGCTCTATGGTGGTGTGGTTAAAGCATTGGGCTGCTAACCAAAAGATCAGCAGTTTGAACCCACCAGCCACTCCATGAGAGAAAGATGAGGCAATTGGAATCCATAAAGACTTACAGCCTTGGAAACTCTATAGAGGCAGTTCTACTCTATCCTATAGAGTCACTATGAGTTGGAATCAGTGCAATGGCAGTGGGTTTGGTTTGATTTCTTTGTTTGTTTTTATTTGAAATTACTGGAATCATAGCAGTTTGCATCTACATCGGTAGCTCTTTTAGGATTGTCATTTCTTTGAGAGCAAAAATTGTGTCTAATTCACCTGTAGTTCCCACCTGCCCCAACCCTTTACCCAATGAGAACCTGTCCCATTCTTGGCACTTAATAATATTTGTTGAATAATTATTTCAGGATGAGTTGGCTTGACTCCTCAACTAGACTTTATGCTCCTTGAAGCCAAGGATCTTGACTGCCCTTTCTTTTATAATCCACAACCACTCACTCCTTGCCAATGTCTAGCACAGTGCTGGGTGCTCAACAAGTGCTCAGTAATGCTCAGTGTTGATGAGTACCTCTGATGAGAGGATTGAAGCAAGATTAAGACACGGAATGGGAAGAGAATATACTGTTTTGCTGTAGCTCCCCTTTGAGAAGAACTGTGGACAAGAGCACCTCTGTGAAGGAGACCTGAGTGTCAACCTCAGCTTCTCAGGGTAAGCTCTATCTCCTTTCATGTCCAGACACTCAAGCCTCTGGATCTCCCATCTTCATAGGATAAGGCACATCTCCCCTTCAGCTCTTCTTGTAACAAAGAAATGATTTTGATGGAAATGTTATCAGCCCATAGCTCATGAGTTCCCACAATCCACCCCGATCCAATTCCAACCCGTTTCCAATGGAGTTACACTCCCAACCTTGTCCTTCCCCTTTCAGCCTGCAGACTCTAATGGTGGGGAGCTCCCTAGAGCTCAATGTGATAGTGACTGTGAGGAATGACGGTGAGGATTCCTACAGAACTGTGATCAACTTCTACTACCCACCAGGGCTGTCCTTTCGGCGGGTGTTAGGGACCCAGGTAAACAGCTTCTCTAGGATCTTGTTGGCTGGGGCCTCTCCCCTATCCTGGCTTATAGTAAGTTCCTTTTAATTCTTCTTCTATGATGATGTATGTATGTATGTATATATGTGTGTGTGTGTGTGTGTGTGTGTGTATGCCTAAACATATGTACACTGTAATGAATAATGTGCAATTAGCATCCAACTTTAAAACATAAAACCCTGCCAGCACCCCCAGAAGTTCTCTTACCATGTGCCCTTCTCCATCATAACCTCACTTTTCCCAAAGGTAATCACTATTTTGACTGCGATTATCACTTCCTTGTACTTCATTATAGTTTTACCACTGATGAATATATCACTGAATAATACTGTTCAGTTTTGCCAGGAACTTTATAAGAATGGAAAGATGTTATATGTCCTCATTTGTGTTTCACCTCTTTCCTTCACTATTACATTTGTTAGGTTTACCCATGTTGTTGCATGTCTCCAAAACTCCTGTAGAACATTGTCATTGCTCTATATAATTCATTTGTATGACTAGATCACAATTTATTGTTCTACTCTACAATTTATGGCCATTTGAGTTATTTCCTAATTTTGGCCATGACCATTCTTTTTTACTTAACTTTATTTATTTTGTTATTGCTGTTGAGGATGTACACAGCAAAACATATGCCAATTCAGCAATTTCTACAAGTACAATTTGGTGACACGGATGACATTCTTTGAGTTGTGCAACCATTCTCACCCTCTTTTTCTGATTTATTCTTTCCCACCTCATGAGCATAAACTCACTGCTCCTTAAAGTCCCTATCTGATCTCTTGAGTTGCTGTTGTTCCACACAGATCATTCTTAAGACAGTATAAAGCTCAAGGCAGACATTTTTTACTACTAGTTCAGCTAAACTATTGTTTGATTTTAAGAAGACTTCAGGGAATATTTTTGGTTTAAGATTTAAAGATTTTGTCAGGGTAATAAGTTTCAGGCGTTCATCCAACCTTCATGGCTCTTGGAATCCATGAGAATTTGAAATTCTGTTCTGCCTTTTTCCCTTTTTCGTCAGGATTCTTCTATAGAATCTTTGATCAAAATGTTCAGTAATGGTAGCTGGGCATCATCCAGCCCTTCTGGTCACATGGCAAAAGAGGCAGTAGTTCACGGAGACAATTAATACACATTCCATACCTTCCTTGTGGTAGTTATGTTTGTGTGTCAGCTTGGCTGGGCCTGGTTGAGTGGCTGGGCAGCTGGTGGTAGTTATTCCCCATGATGAGACTGGCAATCAGCTCCATGGTGGGATCTACCACAAGCAGCTGAGTAGCTGCCTTTGGGATGTGGTCTGCTTCCTGTACATAAGGAGAAGCCTTGGGTATGGTCTCTAGCTTATGGCACGCTTAGACTCTGCATGTAGCCGTGTCATTGCTCAGCAGCCTGCTATGCTCTGCAACCTTGAGGACTTACAATGGACTTAAGTTAAGGGCCTGCCATGTGGTTTGGTAACATCTGGACTTTTTTACCTTTTTACTTGTCAACCTTGGCTTCTCAGCCTCAGCAGCCAGCAGCTATCTGAGTGAAGAAATACCTCTAGCTACAGTGGGCTGGGAGCAGGAGGCAGAGCTGGACTTTCATCCAGCCCCTAGAGCCTGGCACTTTGAACTTGGACTTAAAGCCTTCAAATTGTAAGAATAAACTCCTGTTTGTTAAGGCCATCCCATTTGTGGTATATTCTTGTCAGAGCGGCACTAGGGAACCAGAACACCCCTCTTACTCTCCTTTTTCCTCTGTTGCTCCAGGTGAATAGACAGCAGTTATTGTGCCTTGGATGGCTACTTGCAAGCTTTTAACGCCCCAGATGCTATGCAATGAACTAGGAGGTAGAACAGAAGCACTAAATATGTTATTAGTTAACAACTAGTTAACCTATCCAATTAACTAGGATGGCCCATGAAACCAAGGAACCAAATCCCATGAGGATTTGTTGTACATAAGAAGCCTCAGCAGTTACTCTTTTTTGTTGTTATGGTGGTGGTAAATATAACTATCACCCTTTTGTCAATTCAACTTTTTACAGGTGTACAACTTACAGAAATTACAACAATTGGCTGTATTCTGAATCAGTGCGATTTTTCCATTACTGTTAACTCTCCTTTCCTCATTCTTCCCATCCCTGGTAACCACTAATAAATCTTGTTTTCTATGTACTTGCCTTTTCTTGTCTTTTAATATAAGTGAGGTCATAGAATATGTGTCCTTTTGTGATTGACTTATTTCACTCGGCATAATGCCTCAAGCTCCATCCCTATTGTAACATGGATGAAGACTTTGTTATTTCTGTTGGCAGAGTATAATTTTTTTTTAATAAAATGGATGTCTTAATTTCATGGTGGTTGATTTTATCAGTCTTTTCCTTTGTGTTTAGTACTTTTTAAAATAAAACTTCCCTACCCTGAGGTCACGAAGATATTACCCTATATTATTTTCTAAATGTTTAATAGTTTTGCTTTCTCACATTTAAGTATTTAATCCTCTTGCAATTTATTTGAATGTAACAGGGGAGGTAGAGATATAATGTATTCTTTTTCTTTATGTGTGTGTGAATGGGCCAATTTTTCTAACACTGTTTATTAAAAAGTCTGCCTTCCCCTAATGCTTTGCAGTGCCACAAGTGCTGTATATGAAGTCGATACATGCAGGTGGGTAACTTTGAAAAATTCATTCTCCTTCCCTAGAGCCAACCTGATCAGCGCCCTCTGCGCCTGGGATGTGAGGCAGTGCCCCCTGGGAGTGAGGAGCTGAGAAGCACCAGCTGCAGCGTCAACCACCCCATCTTCCGAGGAGGCAGGGAGGTCAGTCTTCCTTCCAAACCCTCATCACTGTTCTCCCACGTCCTGACCCATTCCCCTTCCCTCACTCCCACATGATGTTCCTCATCCACATCTCTTCTTCCTTCTTCCCTCAGGGAAACTTCATAGTCACATTCGATGTCTCTCCCAAGGCCACCCTGGGAGACAAGCTGCTTCTGATGGCTAACGTGAGCAGGTGAGCCCAGGTCAAGCAGAGGGATTGTGTGTCCTTACCCTCCTAGTCTCACATCCCAGTTGGAGATGCTTCTCCTGAATTCCCTCCCAATCAGGGTCCCCTCTCTTTCTCCAGTGAGAATAACAAACCTGCAACCAACAAGACTACCTTCTGGCTGGAGCTCCCAGTGAAATATGCAGTCTACACGACAGTCAGCAGGTGCTTCATCTCTAACCCCACCTTTGGACCGCTGACCTTCCTTCCAGTCTGGTATCTCCCTCTGCAGCCCACCCTCCTCTTTTGAGAGTGGGCACCTAAGCTAGTCTTTCTAATTCTTCACATGGGAAAACTTGGGTGGGTGACTAACCATGTATTTCATACAATTCTTGCTTCTTCCTAATGTGTCCCTCAGCATGAAGGAAGCCTACTAGTAGGGCACACACACCTTGATACCACTGTGCACTCCCCCCGTCCCTCCATATCCAGGCTTATTTTAACATGAAGCCAGTCCTCTCCTTTTTGCGAAATGTGAACATGCCTGAAGCAAAGCTACTGGGTTGAGACTGTGGCATTGCTCAGTGCTCTGAAGTGGGGAGCTTGTATCCAACCAGGATGTGGTCTCTTACCACAAAGAGCAAAGGAAAGGTTAGGTTTCTATAGAAGTCAAAGAAGAATAGAGGTGTGAAAAACTGTTGGGAAGAGCCCAAGGCCTAGTTGGGCCACAAGAAAGGCAAGAGTAGGGCTGCTACTCTGGGTTCTGAAGGTGGGTTGAGGAGCAGAGACAAGCCAAGCTGAAAGCAGATTAAGGACCCCTATACACTGGGCTGAGTGGAAAAAACTCCTGAGGTTTAGAAGGTTGGGCAGAAGCTTGCAATATTGCAACGGGACAGAGCCTGCTGCTGGGGCTGCTAATGCTATTGTGTGAATTTTTAGGTGAATTAGGGAGGAGGACTCATGGTAGTGTCATTGCCCTTCCAAACCCCATGTGTGAGTTTCCTTTTCTATCCATATAAAATGCTAGAATTTATAATATGAACTTATATATATACTTATGATGTAGTAGGTATTGTTTTAAATACTTTACATATATTCATTCATTTCATCCTCCCACCAACTCTATGAGGTAGTTATTTTTATCTTCCTTTTTACCCATAAAGAAATCAAGGGGTTCAATAACACGGCCCTGTAATCTAGCTGCTAAGGGATAGAACCTGGAGTCAAATCCAGGCAGCTGGATCTGGAGCCCGTGCCCACAGACATACACTACACACCTCTCAGAGGATTGGGGAAAGCTGGGTGGTTTACTCTGATTTCAAAAGAGGTTTAGAACTGAAAGATTTTAAGATGAGAAAATTGAAGCAGAGAGGGAAACAGAGTTGGGAGCAGAGAGGAAGGCTAGCATACTAAAAGCCCACTGCCATTGAGTTGGATCCGACTCATAGTGACCCCTCCTTGGGTTTCCCAGGAGGTGTCTCTACAGAAGCAGATTGCCCAACCTTCCTTCCGAGGAGTGGCTGGTGAGTTTGAACTGCCAGCCTTCTGGTTAGCAGTCAGATGCCTTAAGCACTATGTCACCAGAGCTCCCAGCATACTAAAGGGGGAAGAAAAAAAGATAAACTCTAATATTAGTGGAGGACTTATTGTGTGCTAGGTACTTCTGCAACCCTCATCCCCACTCTCTTAATGGCAGGCACCATTAACAGTATCCTCATTTTAAAGAATAAGGAAGACCAAAGAAGAATTGATGCATTTGAATTGTAGTGTTGGCAATGAATGTTGAAAACGCCATGGACTGCCAGAAGAACAAACAAATCTGTCTTGGAAGAAGTTACAGCCTGAATGCTTCTCAGAAGCGAGAATGTCCAGACTTCACTCACATACTTTGGTCAATTTGTCAGAAGGGATCCATTCCTGTACAGGGATATCATGCTTGGTAAAGTAGACAGTCAGAGATGGAAAGCAAGATCCTCAACAAAAGGAATTGACACACTAGCTGCAATGAAGGGCTCAGATAGAGCAAGGATTATGAGGCTACCACAGGACTAGGCAGTGTTTTGTTCTGTGATACACAGGGCGCTATGAGTCAGAACCAACTTGATGGCACTTAACAACAACAACAACATTTTAAAGAGGATGAACCTACAAGAATCCAGAAACGTTAAGTAATTTGCCTCAAGTTACTGAGGTAGGAAGTAGTACACATGAGATCTGGACCCAGGCTGTCTGGCTCCAAAGCCTATGTTCTTAATCATCTAGCTGATAGCCACATCTGTGGGAAAACTGTTGAGCCTTGAAATGTCTGTGTGGCTGGCCTGGCTTCTGTATGCTAGGTGCTGGTAAACACAGAGCTCCCTCTGCTTGTCTGCTTGATTCCACTGAGATACTAGATGCTAAGCTCTGGGAGGACAAGGATACTTCCTGTTAACTGTTGAATCTCCAGGGCCGACCACACAGCCTGGAATGTTGTTTCCTGAATGAATGAATGAAGGCATGGAAGGATGGAAGGATGGGTGGATGGTACCCACCAGAAGCCTGGCACATTTATGTCCACACCATGAGCTTTGGGTCATCTGCTAGGCCCCAAAAAGGCCTGTAGCAGCACAGGCTAGGCCACAAATGGGAACAGTCTGAGGATTTTTTCACCAACAGGCCCTCTCTCTCCAGGCAGGAAGAATCCACCAAGTACTTCAACTTTTCAACTTCTGATAAGAAGAATAGGAAAGAGGCCAAACATGGATATCAGGTGAGGGGCTAGGGAACATCTGTTTGTCCTTCCATGGTGCTGATAAAGTTGGAAGCTGGTGGAAAAGACTAGATATGAGCCAAGGTATGGAGTCAAGAAAGACATAGGGTTTAGGGATCCTCCAGGGATCACAATAATATTCTGTCTTAATTTTCTGCAGGTAAACAACCTGAGTCAGAGAGATTTGGCCATCAGCATTAATTTCTGGGTTCCCATCATGCTGAACGGTGCAGCTGTGTGGGATGTGGCTGAGGTGGCCCCTTCAAAGGTGCCTGGCCCTTTCTCACTATTAGGGTCTGATCCCACAACACCTCACACCCTTTACCACTGAAATGTTTATCATTCTGTGGCTAAAAGTGTTTCTTTCTTTCTCTAGAGTCTCACCTGTATGTCAGAATTGGAACCTCCCCAACGTTCTGACTTCCTGACCAGGATTCCAAGGAGTCTTGTGTTGGTGAGAAAGACCCTAGACTCCCACAGCAGGACCAGCTGCACATTTCAGGGAAAACATACTCTAGATTAGAGTTATATATACATCCTATAATTGTTCATCTATTCCCCACCCCAAATCTGACAAACTTTATTTTCTCTTGTGATTCCTCCCCTTCTCAATTTCATTCCTCCTCTGTCCCTAGGACTGCTCCATTGCTGTCTGTCTGAGGTTCCACTGTGACATCCCCTCCTTCAGCATCCAGGAGGAACTTGACTTCGACCTGAAGGGCAACCTCAGCTTTGGCTGGGTCAGCCAGGTGTGTAGAGCCCAACAGCAGAGCCCCTTCCTAAATTCAGGTGGAACCTGATATGTCTCTGCCGACCCAAGAGCCAGGATGTTCCTTGACCTCTGAGCCTTCCCCAGAGCCAATTCCCCAGGTTTCAGCTCTACCTCTTTTGCAGATGCTACAGAAGAAGGTATTGATCATAAGTGTGGCTGAAATTACATTTAACAGATCCATGTATTCCCAGCTTCCAGGACAGGAGGCATTTTTGAGAGCCCAGGTATTGATTGCATGACAGATAGTGGCCAGGCTGGTGAAAGGGGTCCTGGTGCTAAATCTATGATGTTAGGTTGGAGGTTTGCAGGCCTGGAGGAAAGAAAGATGAAGGTCTATGAGTCTATGAGCAGGGAAGTTGTCTGTAAGCCTACAAATGCTTCTGCATCTTACCCCTTGGAGCAGGGCCTGGGGAAGGAGGGGAAGGAACTGCAAATTGGGGAACCTGGGAGGAGTCTGGGACAGCAAGAAGGCTGATGCTTTCTGATGCGGTCACTTCCAAAAGATGGAGACAGTACTGGAAGAGTATGAAGTCTACAATCCTATCCCCATCATAATGGGCAGCTCTGTGGGAGGAGTTCTGCTGCTGGTTCTCATCACAGCTACACTGTACAAGGTATTTTTTCATCCCAGCATCCAACCTGAGCCCTCACACAGATAGGACAGTAGAGTGGAAAGAACCCAGACTCTGGAGTCAGGCAGGACTGGGTGCACAGTTTGGCTTTATTGCTTAGTTCACTGTTTAATGTTAGGCAGTTTGCTCAAACTGAGCCTCTTTCTTCATTTTTGAAGTGATAATCATGCCTATATCACACAGTGGATAAAGTGAGGCAAAAAATGAAGCCAGGGTATGTGCCCAAGCTTGCCTGACTTCAGTCTACGCTTTTCTGCTATAGATTATATATATAATCTGTATACTACTGTGCTTAGCATACACACACTAGATAACATGAGATAGCTGTTGTTCCCATAAATAAACGTTCTGGCACACAGATAAAAGTTACCTTAGCTCTCTTCTCTTTTTATCACTTAGCTTCTTCCTACTTCCAACTTTCGTCCCTTGATCTTACCCACTTTTTCTGATTTACTTCCCCTCATAGCTTGGCTTCTTCAAACGTCAATACAAAGAAATGCTGGATGACAAGGCTGAAGACACTACTACATTCAGTGGGGAGGGTTTCAGCCATGAGACCCCAAATTTGTCTCTATCTTAATAATCCACTTTCCTGTTTATCTTTATCCCCATGGGCTGGTCTTGCCTGAAAATCTATTTTCACAAGAATAACTTCTACATAGATATGGACTGGCCTCATCAACCTACTGGGTGCTAGGCCACCTTCCCAACCAATGGAAAAGATCTTTACATTTTCACATATATGTCAATCTTCCTCAGGGATGACTTTCCTTGTACAGAAGCAGACATGAGGCCAGGATGGTTTTTTTTTTTTTTTTCATATGTGTAAGAATTATTCCATTAAATGAGAACATTTATGATACATTTTCTTTGTGTGGAAGTGCTCTGATCAAGGGATTTGAGTGCTGTTGTAGGAACAGTTGATGGAACCAACCACATTCTCTCACCTTCTCAGGTGACTGAGGCCTGAGAAATGGTACTATGACTGGTGTCAGGGGAGAGAGTCAAAGCTTTATATGTGTATGTGTTGATGATGGATTTCAGCACAAGTTTGAGGCTCCTTGATCATAGCAAGTGAGCAGACTGTCCTGGGAAGTAAATGAAATATCCAGAGATATGGGGTCTCTAGAAGCCAAGAGGGCCAGCTTCCAGAAAACAGCATCTGACTTCCCAATGGAAGATCCATTAAAGGTGGTCACAGAGAATGACCAAAATAGTCCAAATTCAGAATTAGGTTATAAGCCCTCACAGATGGGACCACAGAACCTATGTTTGAAATTAGGGTCATCTCCAAATAACCAGGATTCACAGATCTGCCAGTTCAGGCAGTCTGCGTCTGGCAAAGTAGTACTTGGAGGTCTACAGACCTGGGTCCGGTGAGACCTCTGATGACTGGCCTGAATTTGAACAAGTCATTTGACCACTGAGAATGTTTCCTCCTCCGGAGAAAGGAACCAGAAATTTTATCTTGCTCCCCGAGTTACTGTGAGCATTCAGTGTATGCCAAAGCCCGTTATGTTCTAGAGCCCTCATTGTTCATAGGCAAGGAAAAGGAAGGCAGAATTTCCAATCTATTCATCCCCCAGCACCCCCCAAATCTGGGACATAATGGGAGAAGTTACTGCACCTGTACGCACGTGGAGCACAGACCACTTTGTGAGCATGCGCCAAACGGGAGCCCCGCCCAACGACCCTACTCATGCCCAGTCCTCCTGTCCCCTCCGAGCCGGCACACGTGAAGCTTTTACTCTTTTATTGCACCTGGAGGGCATCCGCCTGGACCTCAGAGGGTTTCGTAGCCGGTGGGGAGAGGGTTGACACGGGGGTTGTGGAAGAGAGTGTGGTTGCCGTCACCCCAGGAGTAGGGCTGTGGAAAGTGAGAAAGCCAAGTATCAGGGCCACCCCTTGGCCTTCCGTGCTGCAGGCCCTTCACCCACCCGCTCGTTCCCACGCTGAGGCCTCGGGCCGCCGCAGTACCTTGGTGCGAATGCGGAGGTGGTGGTAGGGGATGAACTCAGGGCGGTGGTGGTGGCCTGCGTGGAGCCAGGAGTTGAGGGTGCAGAGGGCCACGCTCGGGAGCGCCAGCACGAGGGACAGGAGACGCCAGGTACGGGCTGGGCCCAGGGAAAGGCGGTGCGAGATGAGAGAAGCCAGAAGGGGAAAAAAAAAAAAAAAAAAAGGTACGGGCTGGGCCCAGGGAAAGGCGGTGCGAGATGAGAGAAGCCAGAAGGGGAAAAAAAAAAAAAAAAACGGGAGGAGTTGGCTGATGGAGGTTGTTGTCAGCCCTGGAGGCCCCGGAGGCCGGTGGACAAGGGCAAGAAGCCACGGAGTCAGGGCCCAGCCCCACTTACCTCCTGCCCCTCCGTGTTCTGCCTTGGCTGCAGTCGCCAAACCCCGGCTCAAGGACCTCAGAGGCAGAGCCATTGCTGTGAGAGAAGCTGGGAACAACCGCACTGCCCTTTCACTCTCCTTCACTGGGGCCTGGGTTCCCCTCCCCTCTTAGGGGCCAATCACCTGTTGAGCCTGGCACATGGATAGCTATTTTTAGGGGGTTTCTATATTTACAACGGGGCCTGCCTAGTGTGAAGTCCTTTTCTCCAGACAACTGCTGTATTTAAGCTCTTATTTTGGCAGGGGGGCTTTTAAAATACAATATGCCGTTCTTCTTTATAGTGACAGGCAACTGTTTTGTTCATTACTCCTCTGTTTTCCAGTGCCTGGCACACAGTAGGTCGTTAATAAATATTTGTCTAGTGAATTGTCTTTTTGTGTCTGTTTTTTAATCTGTGAAATGTATAATCATTCTTACCTTCAGCGATTTTTGTGACAATAGGAAATGTAGTTCAGTCTTATGTCTTATGTTTTTTGCCAAGATCAGAAATCACTCCAGTTTTAAAAGATAAACAATTAAGAATCTTAGGTAGCTCACAGTATCTGTCTCTGGTACAGGCAGAGAGGCCTAGAATCTTCCCAGCCAGAAACAAGCCGTTTTGTGGGCCAGCTGCAGTGAGACACCACCACAGCTTACACTGCTGGACACCGGAGGCCCCAAGTGTCATCACTGCTGCCCTGGAAAGCCAGATTCATCCAGCCCTACACTCTTGTGAAAATAGGTTCTTCATAAAGCTCGTATCCTCTCTTCTGAATCAAAGAATCATGTGCTTGCCCATGTTGGCAACACCAACATCAATGAATAAACCTGTCGTGGGAGAAGTGCAGCAGGAATGCTGCTTGGAAGGAAGGATGGGCAGACTTCATCTCACCTGCTTTGGTCATGTTGTCAGAAGGGACCATTTCCTGGAAAACGATATCATACTTGGTAAAGTACAGGGTCAGCAAAAAAGGGGAAAACCCTCCAGGAGATGGATTGACACAGTGACTGCAGTGATGGGCTCAAACAGCAATTGTGAGGATGGTGCATGACTGGGCAGTGTTTCATTCTGTCATACATCAGGTCGCAATGAGACAGAGTCAATGTCACGGCACCTAACAACAACGATGACAAGTCAAGACACCTGCAAGAAAGGCTGGGAGATGAGTTCTGGTTACTGCCTTTGGGTGGCAGAAATTCTGTTGTGGGGAAAGCTGCCAAATATAAGAAAAGTATACAAAAGATGCTGGACAGCCATAAATCTGACAAGTGTCTACTGCAAAGTATGTTATTTTAATCTGAAAAAAATCTTACCACTTGGAGGAGAAAGAAGAAAGCCCAGGCAGGCTTGTTGTGGTTAAGGTCATGTGTCAACTTGGCTGGGCTGTGGTTTTGAGTGGGTTGGCAGCTGGATGTAGTTATTCCCTATGATGAAATTGTAATCACCTCCATGGTGTAATCTGTGAGCAGCTAAGTAGTTGAAGGGGAGTTGCCTTTGGGGTGTAGCCTGCTTCAAGGATATATGGAGAAGCTTTGAGAATGGTCTCTAGCTTTGGCACATTTGGATCCTGCATTTGGCCAAGTCTTCATCTCCGGTTCCTAAACTTGAACCAGTGGGCTGCTGTGTTGCCTCCCAATCTTGGAATTGTTCCTGGACTTGAACTAGTGGGGTGCTGTGTTGCCTGCTGATCTTGGGATTGTGCCATTTTACCTGCTGACCTCAGGTTTGTCAGCCTCAGCATCCGGCAGCTGCCTGAGTTAGGAGATGCCTCCAGCTCCAGTGGTCCTGGAATAAGAGACAGAGCTGAAGGCCAAGGTCA